AAGTTTCTCTTCGTATCTACAGTCTTTTTAGAGTTGTGGGCAATTCTACTCGGTTGCTGGTTTAGTGAACTATTAAGGAAATGCGACATAAAAACAATGTGTAAAGAGAAATTAACACTTTGCTTAGTGGGTCCTTCGTTTAGAGAATATTCAGATCCTCTTTCTGGATCAGGCTGTAACAAGGTTTTGTGTCCACGTGGTAAGGTTTGTGTGGCGGAGACCTGCCGACCCATCCAGAAGAGACTATGCGAACACAAAACCGCTTGTAAAGGTTTGTGGGTCAAAGGATCGGCTTCACTTGTCTCTTCGACGAGTAGTTGTATGGTGCTCAGGATGGCGATACTTACTGATGATACCGGCGAAACGTTCGGGAATGTTCCACGTCCACGGTCCTACTCTGGAAATGATCATGCATAGATTGGACCCCGGACTAGGTGCGTTCCAATAAGTCTTCCTACCAACATGACCAAGTTTCGAAAACAAGGTCAAACAACTTCTATACGACGAAAGGAGACTGCAACTACACAAAAGGACACACCATCTTGGTCTTCATACCTTCTTTAAAGTGCTGTTTGCTCTTGTTTTCTTGAGCCGAGGTAAGGTTGGATATGGCAGATGAGATGTGTGTGTTGGGTTGTCTGCGTCAATGCTTTAACTTTTCACAATTTGAGAATGTGGTCTCACCTCCCGTCGACGAACGTGTTTCTGTTGAGCTTACTTCCATTTCGTGAATTTTTGCTGAAGAGATTTGAGGTTCGATTCCATCAGAAGACGATGGCGAATTCCTCTTGACCAGCTGTCGATTGGCTTTTCTGGAACATTTATGCTGACGCTGTTTCCCAGGCAATCTCCTTCGATTCCGGTGAAAAGGTGTTAAACTTTCGTCCGTCATATGACGAACATCATCAGATTAAGATATCATCGTCACAACTAAATTCAAGAGTCAAGAGAACTCTTTTTGATGATATCTTGTTCTGACGGTGTCCGTCATTTTGACGGACGAAATCGAAGGAGATTTCCTCGGAAACCGTGTCAAAAAGAATGCTCCAGTAAAGCCAATCGACAGCTGGTCAAGAGGAATCCGCCGACGTCTTTCAGTGGAATCGACCTTCGAATCTCTTCACGCAACACTTTCACTCGAAATGGAAGTAAGCTCAACAATTATGCAACAAGAGATTCCTCGAAAGCCAACCTTTCTTGGCAGTTAGGCAACACTGCAGGATCGGTTGCCAGGATCCGTCGATCAAAAGCAACATCTTGGCCTCATTTTAGGCTGAGTTGATTTCACTTGCGAAAAATGTTATCCGAAATGACCACAAAAGCCTCTGAGAAGGCTCGATTTCCGAGGCAACCTCTTTCGATTCCGATGAAAAGGTGCTAAGCTTTAATCCGTCACGAGTTTTCTTGACTCGTGAGCTTGAATTTTGATGATTTCCGTCATATGACGCACGAAAGCTTAGCACCTTTTCACCGGAATCGAAGGAGATTGCCTCGGAGACAGCGTCAGCCTCAATCTTCCAGTAAAGCCAATCGACAGTTGGTCAAGAGGAATCCGCGTCGTCTTCTGGTGGAACCGAGCTTCGAATCTCTTCACGCAACACTTTCACTTGAAATGGAAGTAAGCTCAACAATTGTGAAACAAGAAATTACTCAAAACCCAACTTTTATTCGCATAGCTTTGAATTGACCCCATTTAAGCATATTATTTCTGTCGTCTTGAGGACTTCGACAAATCCAACTCTAACGCGTCATCTGCCTTCGTCCAGCATCGGATTGGAATGAGTACATTCGTTAACTTGTTGAGCTTAATTTCATTTCAAGCAAGAGTGTTTGGTGAATAGATTCAAAGTTCGAATCCACCGGAAGACGACGACGCCATTCTCTTGACCGTCTGTCGAATTGCTTTACTGGAACATTCCTTTTGACACTTTCCGAGATAGTCTCCTTCGATTCTGATGAAAATGTGCTATACTCTCCTCCGTCGTGTGACGAACGTCGTCAGAAAAGGCAGTATCTTCCTCACAGGATACCTTTTTTTCAGGCTAATGAGCCAAGAAACCTCACCACCTCATTCACAAATGCTGCATATATACCCCAAAGCTGAGTTATTTGATGAGATAGACAGTGAGTTGGTTGGTCAATTTATGTCATATGTGTGTACATATACGAACGCATCGAGGCACATAAACGCACACAGACTGACACACTCACATGCTTCCAGGCCGACATGACTTGAACAAACCAAATCACATTCTACATCATCAAATAGCTTAGCTTTATGGTGTATATACAGCATTTATGGATAAAGTGGTGAGCTTTCTTGACTTGTCAGCCTGAAGGGAAGCTATCCTGTAAGGAAGATACCATCTATTCTGATGATGTCCATCATGCGACGGAGAAGAGTTTAGCCCCTTTTCATCACAATTAAAGGAGATTGTCTCGGCAAGTGTCAAAAGCAGTGTTCCAGTAAGGCAACTCGACAGACGGTCGAGAGAAAGGTGGAATCGACCTTCGAATCACTTCATGAAAACACTTTCACTCAACAAATATGAAACAAGAGATTTCTTGAAACCCAACTTTTTTTAGCACAAACATTCCAGAAACCTCCCCACTTGTTAGGGCTGACTTAAACTTGGTCTGCGCTTATCATTCCAATATGGGAATTGAATTCACTATATTTCGTTACTCACAATCATATGAGTAGGCTCTACATTTTCATTGAATCTCAGACAGCCTTACCTCAGTTTCCACCTCGCCTGGGTCTGGCCGGGAGGTGAACTCACTTTTAGAATGGCAATTTGTTATTAAATGAATGTAAGCCAATTCGACTGTCAGTTCTTCATCAACTTGAGAACGATTGCTCTTATGCCAGATCAACCGACAGTCTCGAAACCGTCTGACCAACAAAAATATCATTTATTTGAGATACATTCACAATATTCAGTTTAAGCTGATAGGGAGACTCGTAGTTGAAGTTTCCCACGATCACATCATCAGGCCTCACTTTTCCATTAAATTTCACATAGTCTTACCTTCCTAAGACGTATTCCCATCCAGACAAGAGGGCACGGCGGGACTCGAACCCCGACGGTGCTGTGTCTGGCCTCGACATGTTGGCCACTACGCCAGGCCGCCTTGAGTGCACTTGGGGCACAGGACAGATGTGAATTCCAATAAAGGTCAGACAGTTTCCCATATCAAATTGTGTATTTGATATGTCACTTGACTACATTACTTATTTTTCGTTTATAAGTGGGTCTTCTACTACTAGTGGTCTCGAAAGCCTACTTATAAACGACAACTAGTCCGTTGCTACAGCCAATACAACTGTGTTTCCTCGATAATCCAACCACCGAATGTGATATGAGAAAATTCCTGACATTCTTTGATATTTACATCTGACCTGTGACCAACTGGCACTCGTTATGGTCAACGTGTAGAGACTATATGCTGCATGGTTCATGGTTCGAGTCCCGCTGTGGGTGTTGATATCACAAGCCAGGGCGAGGTCGAAATTGCCGTCCACTCGGGCCTGGATGAGAATACCTTTTCGAGAAGGCAAAGCTATGTGTAGTTCATGATTGGGGAAAATTC